GACTCGTCGAGTACCTCTTAAGAAAGGAAAATACTATATTTAAATTACATACCAGAAATGGGGCGTTACAACCATCCTTCCAAATGGCACACTATGCTTAAAAGTGGCGCACCTTGTTCCTAGATTGGCGCTCCTTGAGTATGGATGGCACATCCATGCACCAAGGTGCTCCATTTCACTCCCAAATGCTTCATACCTCTTCTAGGTGCTCCATGCCCCCCCTTTTAGAAGATCCATTCTTTTGACACTTGATCTGTTTCTTTCTCAGATGATATGTTCCTTTGTTACATGCTCCATGAACCCAAGTGCTCCATTTGAGTTCCAAGTGCTCCATTGAACTCAAATGCTCCATGAGAGTGCTCCAAATGCTCAAATCACATTTAACAACTGATTCTCATTAAAGACTTAATTCAAAATTTTTCTTCAACATAAGTCAACATACTATCTCTTTTATAATGCTCTTAATAACTACAAAAGAATTTTGAAAATTTTCATTTCATCATTTTAACTATTTATCCTCTCAACTCTTAACTTATCTATATATACAAGGAATAATGTGTCACATGACAATCAAATAACTCTTTGATTCTTAATAATGATATCAATCCTTTGATAATATGACATTTAACTCTGATTAAGATTTTTTTCTCAAGTTCTCATAATATTTCTTCTTGATGTACTCAATTAAAAAACTCGTCTTCTTCTTATGTCTATTGCTCTCTCTCTCTCTCTCTCTCTCTCTCTCTCTCTCTCTTCATTGTTGTTCTTCCATAGTATTATTCTCTTCTTATTTACTACTCTTATTGTGTTAGTTACACAATGTGCCACTTATTCTTTTCAAACACTTCTTAAATTTTCTATAGGTTTAAACAACTAACATATTTCTTTTATGTTTGTTAATAACTCTAGCTCATATTTTTCACAAACAGCGCCGTGATCTCTCAAAAGCGTGCCACGTTTTCTAATTACTAATTTGAATATAGCAACCTACTTCTTAACCGCGTCCCGGTCTCTCCTCAACCGCATTGCAAACCTAAAGTACATTGTTATATTTTCCTTAAAGTATTACTTTGACTCTTTGGTGAAGGTTAACTTTAATTGATAGGGAAAATGATCCCAACGATTTCAATCAAATACATCATTCTCTATATACCCATCAACAACTCTACTTTAATATTTATGATCGATCGATAATTCTAGACCAAATATATTCATTTCTTCTTTTGGTAGTTTTAACTCTAACAACCAAAATTTCTCATCTCACATTCACCTAAGCATATTTAACATATGAGTCTCAACCCTATTAAGCACAATAAATTTATCAATTATACTAATTCTAAACAAGTTATCTCATATATGACTCGTAGATACCGTAATTACACAACACCTGGGAATTTTAGAAATGATAAGTCATTTCACTCATTCACACATGTTGAACATGTTGCGTTCCAGCTCTATTCGTACCGTGATATATCAAAGTGCATTGTTACTTTTAATTATACTATTATATCTGTATTATTTACAAATTAATCTTGTTATTCAAACAATTTCAGACATCTATAACATATTCTTACAAATGTTAATTTTAAAGATATTGAACTTTATTCACACATTCACGGGAATAACTAAATCACATTTATAGTCAAATTAATTTCTCAATGTCACTAACACATAAAGTTCACATAATTATAGGCAACAACTCTATGATATCAAAAACTCATTTATAATAATAATAGTTTTGCAGCTACTTAAGCCATCATTCAAACTAACGATTACCAGTAATGGATTTCGAGCTACTCTAGCTACCATTACAATCTTCACAAGATACTCATTATGTGACCTCACTTTTTGTATTACTCGATATCACAAGAAACTCGACATTTGATATATTTTTATCTAATCGCTCTACACCACTATACACATTCTCGACTCTCTATTCTCAATATATATACAAGAGATATGCTCAACTCTTTACACTATATAGCTATAATATAGTTATATCACACTTGCTGAAAATATTTTGCCACAAATACTCGTTATGTGGTTTACCATACTTATTCTCTCTACTCACCAAGAATTATCACAAAAAGATTGTATTGTGACTCACTGTACTCTTTATTATAATAATAGTTAAAAATCCCATTCTAATTTTCCGTTTATGTCGTGAGAGAGAGTTTAGTTAGAGACTTTTTTGGCACTATTTATTTTCGACTTATGTCTTCTGAAGTTTGAAGGCTCTTTTGCTGAAGCTCTGTTTGTTTCGTCTCAACGGGGAGTTTCTTGAAGATATTCTGAAACCCTTTTCTTGCATAAGCTATGTGTTGCTCTCAATGTAACATTTTCTGGAAGCGTTGGGTTTGGCCATGTTGCACTAAGGTAATACTTTTCTTTTATGCAACCTTTTTCCTCATCGTTGTTGCATATTTATTGGTTTATATGAGATCCGAGAATACCATTAATTTTATGGTTATTAGATGGTAGTTAGGACTCCCAATTTATAAGCTTTCTTGTAGAGTTTATAAGCATTCTTGTAGAGTTTTTTTTTAGTGTAATTATGATTTTTGTGAGACTATTATATTAATTAATCCCATCTTTAGATTGTCTATTATCATTCAATTTCTTCTTCTTCTTTCTCTTCTCTCCTTGGGGTTTTATCAATGATTTAATCGGTCAATAAGTAGTGGCTGTTTTTTTTTCCAACTTTGGTATAGTAGTGTTCGTGTGCTTGTGTGATTAATTGTGTTTCTTTTGCATCAATTATTTTTTAATAGTCGCAATAGAACATAAAAAATACAAACAACGTTAAACACGAACATGTTGAAAAAGAGAAATGACCAACATATCTTGTTATGTACATGTTATAATTTAACAAAGGTAACACTTTCAGTTCTAAGAAATAACGTTACTATTTAGGACCAAAAAATAAATAAAACAAAAAGCAAAAACAAAAAAAAAAAACAAAAACAAAAACAAAAAACAATAAATAAATAAATAAATAAATAATAAAAATAATAAGTAAACATGCATATTGACATATTCTCCAGCATCTCACGATCTCCTGATTCTTTAATGATTTCATGCCATAAACCACCCCTACCGATGTGCAACACCCATTACATTAAGCTTGTTATAGAGTAGAACCAAAAACCTGACTAAATCCTACAAATAACTAGCAAAATAGCCTAAATAATGAACATATCTGAATGAGAAAGAGACAGATGGGGGAGAGAACTTGATTATCCACCAAGCTCCGCACGACACTTAGGCACCAGGGTTCCTAGATGATAATCAACCCAAGAAATCGCTATGAATTTCTGGAGAAGGATGTTTGACCAGCCTGGGAGTTCTCTTGATCTCTGTCACTAAAAGAATTGCTGGTCGATGTAGCCCATTTTCAGCTTCTCATGTGTGGTTATCTGGTTGTTGAACCTCATTGGAAAAGTTGTATTGTGAAGTCTGATCGGTTGAAAACCCTCTCTCTAAGACAGATTTGGGAGAACTTGAGGTAACATGAGCTTGTCTAATGGCTGCTTCTGTTAATCCATCTGGTGGTTCTTGCAACTGATTGGTTTGTACTATATCCGAATTCAATGATTGTGGCCTATTGTCCATCTCTTGAGTTGATGAGGAGGGTAGATCGGTTGATACCACACTGCTTGATATAATCCCAGGATTGTCTTCAGGAGCTACATAATGTTCATCAGATAAAGGATTTGTATCATCTTCTTCTCCATCTGGTTTCAAAGCTACTTCCGAATCCGATTTAGATAGGTTTGACAAGTTTAACCAACTTCCTTTTTCTTTGTCTAAATCCAAGTCCTTTAGAGAAGTTTCTTCGTCAGAAAGCTCAACCTGCAAGTCAGAAACAATGGAATTGCTTGGAGCGTGGCCTATTCTCTTCTTACCCCCATAAAAGAAGACAATATCAGCTTTTCTCTCGTCCAACATTGTTGATGGACTACAATCGAATGAATTAGCATTTCTTTGTAGACGATTTCCTTCTGACATAGAAGCCTTGAGGTATGCATCAATTTCTTTTGTTCTTTTCTCGGTTCCATCTTCTTCACCTTCTTCTTTTGGATTATCATCTGCTACGAAATGAGGCAAGGTTAAATTACAAACACATCAAAGATTTTATTGGGTGTTATAAAATCAAAACCACAATTCAATACAAGAAAACCATGCATTGAACAATCTTTACAAATGTTATGGCAACCGAATCCGTCGCGAAAAGGGCGATTGATTCGTCGCTAAAGGGAATGTTTACCTACCAATGGTTGAAGCTGCAAGTGCAGCAAGGGTGAAGCGCTTGGTTGCAAGATCTTTGTAAAAAGACATTTTGCGATTATCATGAGTAGCATCTGGATGTGAAAAAGCACCCAAGCTGAAGCTTTGATGCCTACAAAACATCGGTTCTTTGTGGTGACTAGCTGTTAACTCTTCATGAAAGTTATCCCCAGAAAGATCAGGTTTTTCTTCATGAGGATCATAAGGAAGGTCAAAAGGATTGCGTGTCGCTAACAAAGATGGAGCTGAACCAGGGGACTTCTTACCACCTGAACTGACTTCCAGAAACGGATTTATTTTGACGACTTTAATGGCAGAAATTTGACCATTATTGTTATTTTCTGTTGTTGCATCTTTATCCTGAAAACCTAGATTTTTTTTCGATCTTCTTCTCTGCATCAGACCCTCCAACCTCTTGTTTCTTTCAGTTTCTAAAAGCCCAAGATCCATTACATTCTTTTGATCATCTTCTGCCCATCGCACAGTCTTATCTTGTGGGTCATCACCTTCGCCGGCAGAGAAATCCCAACATCCTCCTTTCACTTCATTCTTATGATCATCATCATTAACATGATTACCATATTTTCGGTAATCATATGAGGACGAACATTCATGTCTTCCAACAACAGATTCAACATTCACCTCTCCTATATTTGTCGGCTTTTTCTCAAATAAGGAGCTCTTTTCAGCCAAAAGTTCGCTCAAACTCTTCGAGAAAATGTCGTCATTGTCCTCAAAATCCGTATCGCTATAACAAAAATTATCAGTTTTCGTGTTGGTGTTTCTTCGACTAAGGTGGGTACGATCACCATATTTAGATTTGAAACTCCTGCGAGACTTTGCAAACTTTTTCCTTTTATCATCTTGTTCAGCCTTTTTAATCTTTTGACGATCAATACCCAATAAAACTCTATGAACAATAAACGGAATTCCAACGAGGGGGGAAGAATAGATTAAAAATGTGTATACTAAAGGCATGAACATATACGAAAGGAAGAACAAAAGCAAAATACAAATCGGAATTGGATATTTCTTGATACAAAAGAAACAATTTTTACACCATATTTTCACAATTTTAGTATGACTTGCATCCATGGTTATCCTTATATCCCTATTCGCAACATACCCAGAACAGCAGAGGTAATCAGATCCACTCAACAAACATAACTCAACTAGGCTTCCCACAAAATGAACAAAACCCTTGCAGGGGAATCAAAATAGGGAAGAAGCGATCAATGTGAGGGATGTCGATCATATGAATATTAGAGAAAACAAAGGGAGTTTTTTCGGGCATGTATTAGTTACTTGACCTTGACACGGATAATGAAAGATTGTCTGAATGATAAGGGTCAGATCTTTTGAGGGGTCGTAAATTCGTGAGAGATTTCTTTGGCTATGGCTTTGTTAGATCCTCAAATTTAGGACGTTCCTTCACTCTCTGTCTCTCTTTTTAAGCTCACACATACTCATCAAGATCACCAAAGGTTATTCCGAAACTGTAATTCCCCGCCTATGAGCTTTTAAAAAATAATTCATCATTTTAAAAGTTGTTGAGAAAATTTGGTCCCAATTCATTGTTTAATATTAAAGCAACCTATGAAACCTATGATCACGACGATAACCATGAGCAGGAAATAATACGTAGAGGTTGAAATGTTTACACACAATCAGTGAAAATACTTAAATGTGGAATTCGAAAATGTCTTGCTTTAAAGATTGAATACACTCGTTTAAATACTAGTAACATATATGTAATTATTTTTTTATATTTTTTTTTAATTCTTCGAACAAGAAAACAATAATTTGCTAAGTAGTTCAAGAAGCTTCAAAAATAATGAAATTTCAAGTTCTAGGGTTTATTAAATTCTTTTTTGTTATTTTACGGATAAAAGGAAACTTGAATACATGTACTTATCAAAATTATAATTATTATTTATTATTTTATGATATTATTTTTCATTTTGTTGTTATATGATATTACGATTCACTTTTTATTAGGATCGACCAGTAAGGTCATCTAAAGTTATCTGGTTTACATTGTACAGAGGGTTCCGTGGTTGAGGTGGACCACGACCACGACCGTGCACACCATCCCGGCCGGTCGTGGTCAATCATGGTCGTGATGTTCCGTGTTCTAGACGACGAAGTGAAACGGCGAATCAAAACATTTTCCTTTATTTTGACCATTCAACGGTATTTTTTAAGTTTTTTTTTTCAAAACCTCAATACCTATATAAATCTAATAAAACCCTCACATTTTATCACATTTTACTCTCATTCTATAAACCAAAAAACACATGGAGAATTTGGAATTGTTAAAAAGTTTTGACTCGGATGATGACGGGGAATTCATTTCGACCTTCTTCAATATTGTGCAACATATTCACGATGAAGAAAGTTCGAATGTTGCTCGTACAAGGGCGGTCGTCAATCGTGATCGCCAAGCCGCACACGACTTATTGGTACGTGATTACTTCACCGATAATTGTCTTTATAATGATGACGCATTTAAACGTCGTTTCCGTCTAAATAAGACTATATTTTTACGTATTAATAATGTTTTAGAAGCTCGTTATGATTTTTTCAAACAAAAACCTGACGCTAGAGGAAGAATGAGTTTTAGTAGTATACAAAAGTGTGCGGCTGCGCTTAGGTATTTGGGATACAGTATAACATTTTATGCATCTGACGAATACTTCAAAGTATCTGAGAGGACCGCAATTGATTGTGTAGATTGGTTTGCGCATGTGTGTATGAGGTTTTTCATCAAGAATATTTGCGTAAACCAACTCCACGTGATATTGAGAGATTATATTCGATTCATGAAAAGAGGCATGAATTTCCGGGTATGCTTGGCAGTTTAGATTGTACGCATGTGGCTTGGGAAAATGTCCAAATGCATGGCGTGGTCAATTCACTCGAGGAGATATAGGTGAACCAAGTAAGGATTTATGGATATGGCATTCTTTTTTTGGAGTTGCGGGGTCTAACAACGACATTAACGTTCTTGGTCAGTCTCCACTTTTTAACGATCTTTGGACCAGCAAAACACCTGATATGACGTTCACGGTGAACGGCAATTTGTACAAATACGATTACTATCTTTGTGATGGGATATACTCAGATTATTCTACACTTATGAAGGCATATTCGGTTCCTCGAAGTGAAAAGACAAAGTTGTTCACAAAGAGACAGAAATAAGCGGGGAAGGATATCGAGAGGGCATTTGGAGTCTTCAAGTAGACGTGACATGTAGTGAAATACGCTATACGACTTTAGGATAAGGAAAGAATTAAAAAAAATGGTCCTAGCATGTATTATAATGCATAATATAATCATTGAAGATCAAGGTCGAGCGATTTGCACGTATTATCCGGACGACATCGGCATGCCGCTTGAAGAGTTCGTACCCGGAACGAATGAATTTTTATCACGAGTTGTTCATAACAGCGAAACGTGTTTCAATTTTCGAGAACATATCACAGATCATTTGTACCAAGTCAACATGAACAAAGATTAGTTTTTTTTTTTATCTTATGTTTGTTTTTTTTTTTGTTTTTTTTTTTTTTAATTTAGGTTATTTAAGTTAATGTAATGTTTTTTTTATTCAAGGTTAATTAAGTAATGTAGTTTGAAACTAGTTAAAAAAAATTCAATGTTTTTTTTTTAATTTTCAAAAAATGTAATTTTATTGTATTTTTGAATTAAAAAAAATGATGTTGAGTGGAGTGGTTAGTGGTGGTATCTCATAGGTTTAGTGATAATTAGTGGGGATTACGTGACATTAACCACTATAGTAGTTATTGATGAGTATAAGGTATGGACTAAGTAGAGAACATTGGAGATCTTGTTCGTCATCTTTTTTTTTTTAGTTTATTTTGTGGTTGAAACTAAACCATATATAAAAAAGCTTATGAAAAATATTATTCACTTCAAACATAATATTATATTTAATTATACGTCAATTAACAAAATATTTCATATTTTGCTACCAAATGGGTTTACCGTCAAAAATATTATTAGGTACCAACTTGACAAATTATACCGTGTAAGTTTAAAAGTGTTCTTAATTTATTAATAGTACTGTACTAATAAAAAAAACATCACTTATCTTATGTTACAAGTTTAATCTCTCCTGGATCTTAATTTGCCAATTCCGTGAAAAATTTATTGTTATGGCTCATCATATTCTTTTGCATCGTACTATATATCTGAATGAATGAAGGTTGTTAAGTTCCG